TTTGATGGGGGACAATGTAGAGGGACCTTTACTGTGTAGCTAACCCCATGCAAGTCTCACCTGTTCTGGAGTCACTGTCATTTCACCGGTGCTGTCCCTGTGGTTGCTCAGGGGAATTGGTGGAGGAAGAGTCCTTGAACCAGGCCCGAGCACCCTCTCTCTGCCGTTGTACCTCAGGCCACTGTTCATGCTGTGGCGGAAGGCCCCGAACTGGTACGCCGGTGGAACGTGGGCCGTCTCGCTAGTTGTCGACCTCAGACTGTAGCGATGGTTGCCGAAGGCGGAGAGAGGGAGTGTTCCCTCTCCATTGACTGGGGGTAGATCCCGTGAACTGTTCCTGAGCTGCTGCTGTGTCACCATCGCCAGGGCCTCTTGTAGCATTGGCTCCTGTTCCAGCTGCCGCAGAGGAAGAGGTGTTAAGAAAATTGAGCCCCGGGATTAAGGCCTGTGAGCATCGAGCTGCTTCACACTGTCGACATGCAAATACAGTATCCTCCCTCGTGTGCTCCCTGACCTCCCATCATCTCACACACAGTTGTCATAAAGTCATTCTGTCTGCAAAGCGGAGCTGCAATTGAGAGTTGTCACTGGAAGCATAGCTACTAAAAGAGGAACACAGAAATGACCAGAGCTGCCAAAAGCTCATAACCATTAATACAAAGGAATAAATGACTTGAATCAGAGGTCATAATTTTAGGATAACCGGTGGCAGATTTAAAACAGAGATGAGGAGGAATTATTTCTCTCAAAGCGTTGTCTACCACAGAGTGCAGTGGATGCTGGGCTGTTAGGTAAGGTGGAGACAGACAGATTTTTAATGAGTAAAGGGTTACAGAGAGAGGGCAGGAAAGTTGAGTCAAGGCCAAGATGAGGACATACTGAATGGTGGAGCAGGCCTGAGCGGCAGAATGGCCTACTTCTGCTCCTACCTCTTGAATTCTTTTGACTAGAATGTCTTCCTCCTGATTCTCCACAAAATCAAAGGCAATATGAGGAGTGTAAGATGAATAAGAGGGTAAATACATTTGGGGATTTCAACTTCCCCAACATAAATTGGGATAAACGTAGTCTAAAGGGTTTAGAGGGGGCAAATTTCTTGAAATATATTCTGGCAAGTTTTGTTTTAATATTAACATGCAGAAGGAAAATTCAGGACTGGAGATAAAGGAGAAGGGAGATTTATCAGGGATGTTCAATTGTGCTCAATTCTGATCGCCACATTACAGGAATCAACAGCAAGATGGTGGCAGAGTAGGACGCTCCTGTCAGAGCTCCTCTGCTCCACCTGTTCTTTTTCCTCCTTATTCCTTTCTTTTCTCTCTTCTTTTTCTCTCTTCTCGTTTCTTCTTCTCTTCCCTCAGCATCAGAGTCGGCAGCAGCGCAGAGAGAAGCCCTGCAGCAGCGTGTTGGGAAGCAGTCCCGGAGCATCGAGTCCCAGGGGGGCCCGGCAGCAAGAGTGGAAGCAGGCAGCCTGAGAGCGACAGAGAGGCCGAGTCCCCGGGACAATGGGGGGCGGGCTGCGATACAAATCCTGGTCCAGTGTGACGTACCTTGTTGCTGGTAAGGAATGGACTGGAGGCTGGAGCGCTGCGGGACAGTTGCTGGACTGGTGCAATGTGCTGAGCTGTTGTTCCCAGACTGTAATTTAAATCCTTTGCACTATGTTGTAACTACCTCTGTAAGTAATGCTTATGCTTTCCTTTAATCCTCTTTGTGTAAGAGCACTACATTTTTTTTTAACACTGTAAGATTTGTACCGAGTACTTGTACCTAAGAAGACGCCATTAAAAGGCAGCCATTGTAAAAACTTTTCACTGTTCTCCTATACTTCTGTACTTGTAGTACAAGGGACAATACAGGATATTCTATTCTATTCTGTTCTATTCTAGGATGTGGAGGCTTTGGACAGGGTGCGGAAGGGGTTTACCAGGATGCTGCCTGGATTAGAGGGTATGAGCTGTAAGGAGAGGTTAGAAAAACTCAGGTTACTTTCTCTGGAGGCTGAGCGGAGACTTGATAGAAGTTTATAAAATTATGAGATGCGTATACAGGGTTGACAGTCAGAATCTTGTTCCTCAGAGTTGAAACGTCTAAAACTAGGGGGCACGTATTTAAGGTGAGAGGGGGAAAGTTCAAAGGAGATGTGAGGGGCAGGTTTTTTTGCACAGAGCGTGGGAGGAGTCTGGAATGCGCTGCCAGGGTATTGATGGAGGCTCTTAGATAAGCACATGGATATGTGAGGGATGGAGGGATATGGACCAAGGGCAGGCAGAAGGGATTAGTTTCATTTAACATTGCATTCGGTACAGTCGCTAGGAGGAGCTTAAGAAAACAATTAGGAAAGCAAAGAAGGGGCATGAGAAAACACAGATTAGTAATATTAAGGAGCATTGCAAGATGTTCTTCACAAGGTTAAGGGAATGACTAGGAAACGAGTAGAGCCCATTAGGGACCAAGGGGGCAGCTTAGGTGTTGGGGGATATTGGTAGGAGGCTAAACAAATGCTTCACGTCAATCTTCACTTTGGAGCAGTCAGATGCAGGAATGGAATTTGACAAGATGGTCAGTGAGGTTCTTGAGTAGATCGATATCAGGAATGAGGAAGTTTTGGTGGGGTTTAAAGGGGGTCAAACCTCCAGGTGCGAGTGAGTTGTATCCTGGGAGACAAAGCAGGAAATCGCAGGAGCTCTGATTCAACTTTCTACTTCGTCGCTGGCCACAGGGGAGGAGGTGCCAGAGGACAGCCGATGTGGTTCCACTGTCCAAGAAGGGTGTTAGAGATAAACCAAGGAACTGCAGTCTCACATCAGTGACAGGGAAGTTATTGGAGAAGATTCAGAAGGAAAGAAATAATGTCCATTTAGTGTGGTAACAGTTTGAGACAACAGGCGAATTGATGGAAAGCGAGATTAGTGTAGATTTATGTTGGCGCAGATAGGCAGAAACGCCTCAAATGATTCTATTTTCACTCATTCGCCACCATCAGCTTGTGACAGGTTGGATTCACAAGCCAGAGTAACTGAGAGTAGCTACTCTTGATCATTGCTGTGGAGAGCCTATTACAAAACGTCACTCTCTCGAGACATTTCAACTCACCACATTCTCCTGACTGCCCCCTCCATCTTGAATTCTGGCATCCACGGAGGCTGACATGGAGTTACAGCGACGGATGGAGGGTTGGCGAGACATTGTTGAGATCTCTTCCCTGCGGATAATGAGAAAAGGATAGTGTTTGAGTCCTCACATGAGCATAAGTCATACGTCACCCCACCCCACCTTGCTCGATTTCATCCCTCCTGTTCCCAGGCTCGCTCTCAAACCCTTATTCCTGTCACGTGGCATTCGAATATAAATATGGAATCACCAGAGGCAAAATGTTAACTCTGTTTTCTCTTTCCATGGATGCTTCCAGACCTGTTGAGTTTCACCGCCAATTTCCTGTTTCAGGTCTCCACCATCCCATTTCATCAACATCTCCACCATTCAATCCAGATACAAATATTCCCCACTCAATCATTTATATAAATGATTTGGATGGGAACATAGGAGGGATGGTTAGTAAGTTTGCAGATGCCACTAAAATTGGAGATGTAGTGGGCAGTGAAGAAGGTTACCTCAGAGTACAACAGGATCTTGATCAGATGGGCCAATGGGCTGAGGAGGGGCAGATGGAGATTAATTTAGATAAATGTGAAGTGTTGCGTTTTGGAAAGGCAAATCAGGGCAGGACTTATACACTTAATGGGAAGGTCCTGGGGAGTGTTGCTGAATAAACAGACCTTGGGGTGCAGGTTCATAGCTCCTTGAAAGTGGAGTCACAGGGAGACAGGATAGTGAAGGATGTGTTTGGTACACTGGCCTTTATTGGTCAGTGCATTGAGTATAGGAGTTGGGAGGGTCATGTTGCGGCTACACAGGACATTGGTTAGGGCCACTTTTGGAATACCGTGTTCAATTCTGGTCTCCCTGCTATAGGAAGGATGTTGCAAAACTTGAAAGGGTTCAGAAAAGAAAAACAAGAACGTTGCCAGGGTTGGAGGATTTGAGTTAAAGGGAGAGACTGAATAGGTTGGGGCTATTTTCCCTGGAGTTTTGGAGGCTGAGGGGTGACCTTATAGAGATTTATAAAATCATGAGGGGCATGGATAGGGTGAATAGACAAGGTCTTTTTCCTGGAGTGGGGAGAGTCCAAAACTAGAGGGCATATGTTTAAGGTGAGAGGGGAAAGATTTAAAAGGGTCCTAAGGGACAGATGATGGTGTGTGTATGGAATGAGCTACCAGAGGAAAGGTTTACAGGGATATGGGCCAAATACTGGCAAATGGGACTCGATTAATTTAGGATATCTGGTCGGCATGGACTAGTTGGACCAAAGGGTCTGTTTCTGTGCTGTAAGTCTCTATGATCCAGACACAAATACTCCCCACTCAAGACAAAGTTGAAATTCTGTTCCCGGATCGCAATGGATTCCGTTTGGAAGTGGATTCGTACGGAAGTCGGAGCACGATGCAGGTCAATGGAAAGGAGCTGTTTGCGAGGGCAGGAAATGTGTGTCTGTGACAGGCCTTTGAAACCTATGCCCCTGTATGGGACAGCATTTGTGAAAATGAGCATACCTTTCTCTTCGAGAGTCGGGGGATTAGGCCATCAGGCATGTCTGCAGCCACCAACGTGACTCCAGTACGGTATGTCGCCTCCCTGGTATCTAGGGTAAACAGTGTGCTGGAGTGGTTGCAGGACATTGGTCTGAGGGAAGGGGAGTGCTCTGGGAGACTCAGAGCCTTACATCAGTAAAACAGACCCTTCGATCCAACCCATTTGTGCCAACCAGATTTCCTAAACTGAACTAGTCCCATTTGCCAGCATTTGGCCCATATCCCTCTAAACCCTTCCTATTCATGTAACCGTCCAGAGCCTTTTAAATGTTGTAATTGTACCAACCTCCACCACTTCCTCTGGCAGCTCATTCCATACACGCACCACCCTCTGCGTGAAAAAATCACCCCTTAGGTCCCTTTTAAATCTTTCTCCTCTCACCTTAAACCTATGCCCCTCTAGTTTTGGGCTCCCCTACCCTGGGGGAAAGGACCTTGGCTATTCACCCTATCCATTGCACTTATAATTTTTTAAACATCTATAAGGTCACCCCTCAGCCTCCAAAGCCTCACAAACCTTATTGAATTCTTTGAAGAGGTGACCAAACACGTGGATGAAGGTAGAACAGTGGATGTGGTATACATGGATTTAAGTAAGGCGTTTGATAAGGTTCCCCATGGTAGGCTCATGCAGAAAGTAAGGAGGCATGGGATAGGGGGAAATGTGGCAGATTAGATTCAGAATTGGCTGACCCTTAGAAGGCAAAGGGTGGTAGTGGATGGAAAATATTCAACATGGTGCTCAGTTACGAGTGGTGTACCACAAGGATCTGTTCTGGGTCCTCTTCTATTTGTGATTTTTATAAATGATTTGGATGAAGGAGTGGAAGAGTGGATTAGCAAGTTTGCGGACAATACGAAGGTGGGTCACGTTGTGGATAGTGCGGAGGGTTGTTCTAGGTTACAAAGGGACATTGACAGGATGCAGAGCTGGGCTGAGAAGTAGCAGATGGAGTTTAACCCTGAAAAGTGTGAGGTGATTCATTTTGGAAGGACAAACTTGAAAGCAGAATACAGGGTTAACAGAAAGATTCTTGGCAGTGTGGAGGAGCAGAGGGATCTTGGGGTTCATGTCCACAGTTCCCTGAGAGCTGCCACCCAGGTGGATAGAGTTGTTAAGAAGGCGTATGGTGTGTTAGCTTTCATTAATAAAGGGATTGAGAGCCGTGAAGTTATGCTCCAGCTATACAAAAGCCTGGTTCGGCCACATCTGGAGTATTGTGTCCAGTTCTGGTCGCCTCATTACCGGAAAGATGTGGAAGCGTTGGAAAAGGTGCAGAGGAGATTTACCAGGATGTTGCCTGGAATGGAGGGAAGGTTGAGAGAGCTCGGGCTTTTCTCTTTAGAACGACGAAGGATGAGAGGTGACTTGATAGAGGTGTACAAAATGATCAGAGGTATAGATAGAGTGGACAGCCAGAGACTTTTTCCTAGGGTGGAGGTAGCTATTACAAGGGGGGCATAGTTTTAAAATGAGTGGAGGTAGATATAGCGGAGACGTCAGAGGTAGGTTCTTTACTCAGAGAGTGGTAGGGGCGTGGAATGCATTGCCGGAGAGGGTAGTGGAATCGGCCTCATTAGGGGCATTTAAGCGGCTATTAGATAGGCATATGGATGATAGTATAAGGTAGGGGTGGAGGTTAGATAGACCTTAGGATTAGGGTAAAAGTTAGTCACAACATCGTGGGCCGAAGGGCCTGTACTGTTCTATGTTCTATGAAATATCAAATGGAGCCATGTGAGTTGAACTCAGAAACAAAAGGGGGACAGCCACACTGCTTGGCCCTGCTGGTCTTCCTAACAGTAGGGGAGAGTTAGATGGACACATTTCGTACTGTAACAGTAACGGAGACTTAAAGTATTCAACTAACATCTGGAATACGTGCAGTGTGAAATGCACAAGAGTGTCGGGTGTTCTCAATTTGTGTTTTAATGTAACAAAAGAGGGTGCGAGTCTTCATTTTGAATTGGGAAATGAATCTGACCAGGGTAGATGAGGAGCAGCAGTGGATGAACATAATGATCATAATGCAGTTTGCTTTATCATCCTTTTGGAAAGGGGCAAAGATGGGAAGGAAGCGAAATTGCAGGAACACCAGCTTTACAAAGGCGAGAGATGACCTGGCAAGCATGGAATGGTCAAAGCCGCTCGAAGGCACGTCTGTCGCAAATCGGTGGGAGGCATTCAAAAGTGAGATGCTTCAGGCACTGTGCAGATCTGTCCCCCACCAACAGATCAGATGGTATGTGCAAAATCTCAAGCACGCCCTGGCTGTCCAAAGGCAAACAGAGTTAGGGAAAGCATTACAACAGAGCCTCTGACCATCTCAAAGAGTGGTACTTTAGGAAGCTCAGGGGATGTGGAAAAGGATGTTGGAAAATCAAGGAGAGGATATCAGAAGCCATTGTGAAACTAATGAAAGCCCAAAGGTGTCCTACCACTAGACTAAGAGGAAGAGGGTGTTTCAAGGAAAAGGTTTGGCCCGTTAGAGGTGTACATGGCAATCTGTGTGCGATTTCAGAAGATGTGGGCAGGGTTCTCAATGAGTGTTTTGTCACTGTCTTATCAAAAAAAGAAAGATGAAGCAAGAGTTGTGATTGAACAGGAGGAGTGTGAACAATTAGATCAAATATGTAACAACGAGAAGGGGAGGACTGGGTAGACTGACCTCCTGGAGAGTGGATAAATCATCAGAGCTGAGGGAATTTGTTTCACCAGCCGTTAATGGAAGCCATGGAGAAAATGATGGACCCTGTAAGGATCATTTTCCAATCCTCACTAGATACTGAGGTCTGCAAATATTGTACCATTACTGAGACCATAGATAGAGTGGCAGAATTGGGCATTTAGCCAGTCGAGTCTGCTCCACCATTCGATCATGGCTGATATGTTTCTCATCCCCATTCTCCTGCCTTCTCCCTGTAACTCTTGATCCCCCTTACCAATCAAGAACCTATCTATCTCTGTCTTAAAGACACTCAATGACCTGGCCTCCACAGCCCTCTGCAGCAATGAATTTCACAGATTCATCCCCCTGTCCAGCTGAAGAAATTCTTCCCCATCTCAGTTCTGAAAGGTTGTCCCTTCACTCTGAGGCCTTGGGTCCTGGTCTCTCCTACTGGTGGAAACATCATCTCCAGGTCCACTCAATCCAGGCCTCTCAGTATCCTATCAGTTTCAATCAGATCCCACCCCTCCCCACCTCCTGGCCTTAGAGGATGCAAGGCATGTGCCAAATAATAGACCATTTAGGAGATAGCGATCATAATACATTTAGCTTTAACGTTGCTTTGGAAAGTGGCAAAGGTAGACAAGAAGTTAAATTTCTAAATTGCGGGAATGCAAACTTTGCAAAGTTGGGAGACAATTTGGCAAATACTGTAGTTTTTATTCCTAAGATATATTGGTGATCTGAAGACCCCACCTTGACCCAAGATTTACCAGGATGTTGCCGGGAATGGAGGGTTTGAGATATAAGGAGAGACTGGATAGGCTGGAACATTTTTCACTGGAGCATGGAAGATTGAGAAGTGACCTTATCGAGGTTTATAAAATCATGAGGGATATAGGTAGGGTTAACGGCAGTTGTCTTTTTCCCTAGGATGGGGGATTTCAAGAGTGGGGGCATATTTTTAATGTGAAAGGTTAAAAAGTCATGAGGGGCAAACTTTCTTACACAGAGAGTGGATTGAACTGCCAGAGGAGGTGGCGGAAGTGGGTACAGTTACAAAGTTTAAAAGACATTTGGATAAGTACATGAGTAAGAAAGGTTTGGATGAATATGGGCCAGGAGCAGGCAGGTGGGAGTAGGATTAGGGACTGGTTGAACCAAAGGGTCTGTTTCTGTGCTGTATGACTCCATAACTCACGACATGTGGATCCATCCCTGACCCACTGGTGGACAGAGGAGCTGGAAAGCGCGATCAGAAAGGGCAGCTAGTACAACCAGCAATGGGCTTAAAGGCCTCTTCCTGCCTGGGGTGCAGCTTTTCCGCCATGCCAAGGTTGTTTCTAACCCCCTGCTAACCCTTTCCCGCTCATGCTGTGGAAGGGGCTGAGTGGCCTCTTCCTGTGCCCACCGACTGGCCTCTCTGTGCGGAACGTCACAACTTACAGCTTGAACACCATTTGCTCCGTCTTGTTCTTGTGGTAGCGATTCACAGCGACGATGGAAATGACCAGAATGAGCAGCAGTAACAGACCAACAGCTCCAATGGCTACAAACGCCATGGACAACATATTCACACTGGGCACATTGGTATCTGAGAGAGAGAGACCGAGACACACACTGTTGCAGCACGAGCTTAGACATGCAGTAAAGCTCCCTCTAATCTGTCCCCCTATCAAACACTCCCAGGACAGGGACAGCACGGGGTTAGATACAGAGTAAAGCTTCCTCTACACTGTCCCCCATCAAACACTCCCAGGACAGGGACAGCACGGGTTTAGATACAGAGTAAATCTCCCTCCACACTGTCCCCCATCAAACACTCCCAGGACAGGGACAGCACGGGGTTAGATACAGAGTAAAGCTCCCTCTACACTGTCCCCCATCAAGCTGTTGCAGTTTGGCTGTAGCAGCGAGTTGTGATGTGAATTGGTAATAAGGCTGGAGCAGAATGGGATGCTTCTCAGTTGGAACATACCGATTACTTTAACATCAATCTGTCCGGTCCGACTGCCAATCTTATTAGTCACTTCACAAATGTAAGTCCCTGAATCTTCTGCCGAAAGTGAGCTTCGAAACAGGAGTTTGTTCCCCTCGGTGACACTGTTATTGGGTAATGGGCGTTCCAACCTAGAGAGCAACATCAACAGAGGACAATAGCAAACAATCTGTATCAAACCCCTTCCCATTCACTCTCACTGTACACAATCCCAATGGACACAACCCCCTTCCCATTCACTCCCACTGTACACAATCCCAATGGACCCAAACCCCTTCCCATTCACTCCCACTCTACACAATCCCAATGGACCCAACCCCTTCCTATTCACTCCCACTCTACACAATCCCAATGGACCCAACCCCTTCCCATTCAATCCTACTCTATACAATCCCAATGGACCCAAACCCCTTCCCATTCACTCCCACTCTACACAATCCCAATGGACCCAAACCCCTTCCCATTCACTCCCACTCTACACAATCCCAATGGACCCAAACCCCTTCCCATTCACTCCCACTCTACATAATCCCAATGGACCCAAACCCCTTCCCATTCACTCTCACTCTACACAATCCCAATGGACCCAAACCCCTTCCCATTCACTCCCACTGTACACAATCCCAATGGACACAAAACCCTTCCCATTCACTCCCACTCTACACAATCCCAATGGACCCAAACACCTTCCCACTCACTCCCAATGTACACAATCCCAATGGACCCAAACCCCTTCCCATTCACTCCCACTCTACACAATCCCAATGGACCCAAACCCTTTCCCGTTCACTCCCACTGTACACAATCCCAATGGACCCAAACCCCT